TCTGCAACAAACTCTGACACTATCACAGCCCTAGAAGGCTGTTTCTTTAGGTTTTAACACTGATCTACCCCTAATGGATTACTGCCTTGTCGTGGCGAAGGGGCTTGCCTAGCTCAATGAAGGTATGAGCTATGCCATGCAGGACCACCCAAGACGGTCATAGCAGAGAATTCTGACAAAATGTGATCCACTGGAGAAGGAAATGACAACCCACTCCAGTATTTTTGCTATGAAAACCCCATGGACAATACAAAAGGAAAAAAAAAACATGATGCCAGAAGATGAGCCCCTCAGGTCGGAAGCAAGGGTTGGTTCTACGTACCTTTGCTACCGGTTCACAATGGGGCCACACATGCATGCGCAGAAGCTTCCTGATGACGTTGGGGTTGGTGGGCGGAGCCTCCCGCCGGTTTTACTACCGGTTCTATAGAACCGGTCCGAACCGGGGGCAACCCACCACTGGTCGGAAGGTGTCCAATATGCTACTGGGGAAGAGCAGAGGGCTAGTACTAGTAGCGCCAGAAAGAGTGAAGCGGTTGGGCCAAAGCCGAAATGATGCTCTGCTGTGGATGCATCTGGTGGAGAAAGGAAAGTCCAATGCTGTAAAGATTTTTTCTCCATAGGAGCCTGGAATGTAAGACCCATGAATCAAGGCAAGCTGGACATGGTTAAACAAGAGATGACAAGACTGAACATTGACATTTTAGGAATTAACGAACTAAAATGGACAGGAATGGGTGAATTTAATTCAGATGATCATCAGGTATACTACTACAGGGAAGAATCCCTCAGAAGAAATGGAGTAGCCTTCATAATCAATAAAAGAGTAGGAAAAGCAATACTGGGATACAATCCCCAAAATGACAGAATGATCTCAGTTCGAATCCAAGGCAAACCATTCAATATCACAGTAATCCAAGACTATGCCCCAGCCATTGGTGCTGGAGAGGATGAAATTGACAGGTTCTATGAAGCCCTACAGCACCTTATAGAATTAACACCAAAAAATTATGTCCTTATCATCATGGGGGATTGGAATGCTAAAATAGGAAGCCAAAAGATAACCAGAATAACAGGCAAGTTTGGCCTTGGAGTACAAAATGAAGCAGGGCACAGACTGATAGAATTTTGTCAAGAGAATATGATGGTCATAGCAAACACTCCTTTCCAACAACCCGAGATGAATCAAAAGTTGGAATTAAGATTGCTGAGAGAAATATTAACAACCTCAGAAATGCAGATGATACCACTGTATAATGGCAGAAAGCGAAGAGGAACTAAAGAGCCTCTTGATGCTGGTGAAGAAGGACAGTGCAAAAGTTGGCTTGAAACTCAATATTAAGAAAATTAAGATCATGGCATCTGGCCCTCTCAAATCCTGGCAAATAGATGGGGAAGAAATGGAGGTAGTGACAGATTTTGTTTTCCTGGGCCCCAAGATTACCGCAGATGGGGACTGCAGCCAAGAAATTAAAAGCTGCTTGCTCTTGGGGAGGAAAGCTATGGCAAATCTAGACAGCATTCTAAAAAGAAGAAACATCACCCTGCCAACAAATGTGCGTATAGTCAAGGTTATGGTTTTCCCAGTTGCAATGTATGGTTGTGAAAGTTGGACCATAAGAAAGGCTGAGCACCAAAGAATTGAGGCCTTTGAACTATGGTGCTGGAGAAGACTCCTGCGAGTCTTCTTGATCGCAAGGCTATCAAACCGGTCAGTCCTAGAGGAGATCAACCCTGACTGCTCTTTAGAAGGCCAAATCCTGAAGATGAAATTCAAATACTTTGGCCACCTTATGAGAAGGAAGGGCTCACTGGAGAAGAGCCTAATGCTGGGAAGATTGAGGGCAAAAGAAGAACGGGACAACAAGAGAATGAGGTGGCTAGATGGAGTCACTGAAGCAGTAGGCCTGAGATTAAATGGACTCCAGAGGATGGTAGAGGACAGGAAAGTTTGGAGGAACGTTGTCCATGGGGTCACAATGGGTCAGATACGACTTCGCAACTAACAACAGTACTAGCATACTAATAAAGGAGCATATTTGTAGCATAGGGTTGAAATGGGAAGTCTTGATGCTGTCTGAGCTTGCTTGTTTTTTTTGTTTTTGTTTTTTCAGATGTTTCATTACTCAAACTAGAGTAGCTCTGATGATGTTACCTGATTTGGGTAATGAAAGGTCTGCAAGAAAACAAGCAAGGTCAGAGGGCACCAAGGGCCCCTCATACTAGCATACTGATAGTAGTGGATTCATTTATTAAATTCCTTATGGAATATTCTTCTCCCTGAAATTGGATTAGCTCCATCCCCTTTGACAGCCTGGAAGGCCCTCAAGGCCCTGGTTATTATCAAGGCCCTTGAGGGACCTGGCCCTCAAGGCCCTGGAAGGCCAGGGGCTTCCAGGGAACTGGATAGTTGCTTAGATGGTTCCTTTGCTGAGCTGATTATTTTTATTTTCTTTTCACCGAAGGTTTGTACCTCTGCTTTTTGATAATATTTACCCTTTAAAGTGGTTTTTATATCCTTTATATTATTGTTTTTATATGTGATTTTATATGTTTGTTATGGCTGCCCAGTGTTGCTTTTGGTAAGATGGGCAGCTATGTAAATTTGATTGATTGATAAACAAACAAACAAACAAACAAACAAACAAACAAACAAACAAACAAACTCATAACTATTTCTGATGACACTGAGTTGTTGTTCTTATTAATTATGCAACCAGACAGAAAACCTTACATTCCAGAAACAAACAGGTAGTTCTAATAGCATTTGTGTTGAATAAAGTTCAAAAGTTCTATTATGTGAGCAAATGAAAGAAGTGGCTGATCAACAGAATGAAAATAAAGTGAATATATCTGTTTGTTTCCATCTGAAAGGCAATTGAACTCCCCATAAACTCATTGATACTCTCTGCTCTGCTCACCAGTGTTTCTAAGAGAAAAGAACATGGTACAGCTCAGGGGTAGAATCTCTGAATTCTCTTTCTCCATGGATGGAGGCGTCTCAAATCCTAGAAAAATGTTACCAGTTGTTTTAGTTTATTCTAAACTTCATTACTAGGGTCTCCTGCAATTCAAGGCAGTTCCATACACTCCAATTCTAGAACATAGAGCCTTTCCTTAGCAAATTGTGTAATTTGCTAAGGAAACAATCCAGTAATGCAAGAAAACTGGATGAGTATGTTATAACAATATACATTCTGCAGTTAACTACAATTATCTCACTTCCAGTCCCTCTCTCCCCCAAAACCCTAACCCTACAGATAGTCCTTGACTTATAACCTTTCATTTAGCAACCATTGGAAGTTACAACATCATTGAAATCATCACCCACCCTCCAGTCAGAACCGAAGAAGCTTCTTGGATGAGAAGCGAAACATCTTGTTGTGGGAGCTTCATCACTGGAGGCTTTCAGGGGGAGATTGGTCTGCCATTTGTCGGGGATGGTAGAGTCTCCTGCTTGATCAGGGGGTTGGACTAGATGACCTACAAGGTCCCTTCCAACTCTGCTAATCTATCTATCTAAATATTCCTGCTGGTAATCATAATAGTTATAAAAGCAATTTATTATTATTATTTTTATTATTAGTTCAATTTATATGCCGTCTTTCTCCGGAGACTCAGGACGGCTTACAATGCATTAAAAAAAAAAACCATTATAAAAACATTTTAAAATTAAAACATTAAAACTCATTTACACCATTCATGGCCAGATCTCACAAGATCACAACAGCGAGATCAACAGCCCGAGGCCTGCCGGAATTTATGTACCTTTTAGTTAAAATAATATATTATCAAACTGAGTAATATTTAAACTGGGATGAGGTGGGAAGGGAGAAGGGAAGGAAGACTGAATGATTATGCACTTTCAGGTTATACAAGAGAAATTACAGGTACCTTAGCAATTAAAAATTGTAATAAAAATAATGACTACCTTTAGTGAATAAGTTTCATTTTTTTTTACTTTGTACCTTTTTTCTATTATTGTATTGTATTCTGCACCTCAGCTCACCTTATGAGCCGAGATGGCGCAGTGGTTAGAGGGCAGTACTGCAGCTACTTCAGCTGACTGCTAGTTCAGCAGATCAGCGGATCAAATCTCACCGGCTCAAGGTTGACTCAGCCTTCCATCCTGAGGTGGATAGGTGGGTAAAATGAGGGCCCAGATTGTTGGGGGCAATATGCTATTACTATACTGTCTTTGGTGTAAGCCGCCCAGAGTCCTTCCATATAACACCTCTCCCGCACCTCTCCTGCGCGAGCTGCACTGGCTCCCGGTGGTCTTCCGGGTGTGCTTCAAGGTGTTGGTTCTCACCTTTAAAGCGCTCCATGGCTTAGGGCCAGGGTATTTACGAGACCACCTTCTGCTACTGATAACCTCCCACCGGCCAATACGCTCTCACAGAGAGGGCCTCCTCAGGGTGCCGTTGGTCAAGCAATGTCAGCTGGCGGCCCCCAGGGGGAGAGCCTTCTCTGTGGGAGCACCCGCCCTCTGGAACAAGCTACCTCCCCGATTCCGGATCTCCGCACTTTCCGTAAGGCCCTGAAGACGTTTTTATTTCAGCAAGCCGGCCTGGCCTGAATAGGTTTTATGGGTTAGTTTTTAATTGTATAGCTAGGGGTTTTAAATTGGGGTGGCCGTTTAATTTAATTTATTTTTAATTATTTTAACTTTTATATTGTATGTTATTTTAATTCTCGGCTGTTCACCGCCCTGAGTCCCTTCGGGGAGAAGGGCGGGATATAAATTTAATAAATAAATAAATAATAATAGAAATATGACTAATAAAATAATAATAACAAATAAATATTGATATATAAAACAAAGAACTTTTTAGATTTCTTCGTGTAGTTTATTTGAATATAAGTGTGAATAAATAAACCAATGAACTCGTCTTGGGGTTGCCAGACTTGAATCTCAGCAAGATTCTTCCTTCACTGGAGGAATATTTTCCCTGTTCTACAAGTAATTTTTATGATTTTAATTTTGTCTTCTGATTTAGAACTTTCAGCCATTGAACCTATTGTTTTTCTTCGACCTTTTCTGGAAGTTATTCGATCAGAAGATACTACAGGCCCGATTACTGGACTGGCTCTGACATCAGTAAACAAATTCATTTCATATGGACTAATAGGTATGGATTGAGACTATTTTCTTTTTTATTATAAACTAAAACTGATGACTTAGAGAACCATTACTTGTCCGAGAATTATATATTAATGATCCCAGGAGAACTGAAATTTGGATTGGCTTTTATAATGAATAAACAGGATTATGTTTTGTATTTTATATGGCTAAAATAATAATAATAATGAAGGTAGTCCTTACTTAATTTAGCAACTGTGCTGAAGTTACTGTGCTGAAGTTACTAGTGCTAAATGAGAGGGACTTATGATGGATCCTAGTAGTTGCAGCCATCTCAGCATCCCCATGGTCACATAATCATATTATGGGTGCTTGGCAACCAGCTTTCAGTTTCAAAGTTGCACTGTTCCAGGGTCATGTGATCACTATTTGCACACTTTACAGCCAGCTCCCAACAAGTAGAATCAGTGCAGAAGCTACCAGTAAAACCAAAAAATTGCAGTCATGTGAGGTCTTGCTTAACAACCACATTACTTGGCCATTGAGTTGCTGGTCCCAGTTGTGGTAGACTACCTGTACAATAAAATCAATAAAATATAGCAAAATAAAGATAAAATATGGTAAACATAATGAAGCAATGGGTCACATAACAGACCCTCATATAGCAGCATCTCACCAGCTCACATTCCCTGAGCCTGACAATGCTCTTGCTGCCCTACTGGATCCCCGCAGGCTTTGGGCTTGCTTTCTCACCCCACCAGGCCCTCACAGGCCTTGGGCCTGTTTTCCATTCTGCTGGGTCCCACACTCTCCTTCTGTCCCAGAAGTGGTTGCCCGTTCTTCTTTCCCAGTGCAATCTCCCAAATCTCTAGGGGTCTGGAGTTTGTGTTAGGAAAGGAGAACAGGTTGCTCTGCCTGTCAGCTTCCCTGCAGGCTACATGTTTCTGTCCTGGAAGTGGGCACCATTTTGAAAAGACTACAATTCATTGCAGCTGTTCTCAAGTTGGTACCCATTTTTAGGACAGAGCTATGCAGTCTCCACTATGCTGCTGCTTCCAGAAGGAGATCTACAGTAAAAGGTAAGTGGCTAATTAACTATGGGGGTGGGTGGTGGGTGGGAGGAGGAAATGGGGTGGGAATCAGGTCTATGGGAAACCTGCAGGGCAGGAAAGCAGGCCCCAAGCTTGCAGGGTTGTGGCAGGGTGGGATGGAGGAGCCTCTACACTACAGTGTCTATGCTGTCAATCACAAAGCAGGCAGATTCCCAAGCATCCAAATTTTACTCGTGAACGTGGGGGTGCTGCAATGGCCATAACTTAGAAGCTGGATTATATATCAATTTCAATGGTCCATCATAACTTGAATGGTTGCTAAATTGACCATTTGTAAATGGAGGATTATCTGTATTGTTTGTTCTACCACATTTCAGATCAGTTGAAGTTTCTGAGTGGTCTTCAAGGGCAGCTCCATATAAAGCATGTTGCAGTAGTCAACAGTGAGGTGACCAGGCTGTCTGAAAACCTCCTAATCCAGACCTAGACATTTTAAGTCCTGTGGGCCACATCTAGCCCTTTGGCTTTCCCTATCCAGCCCATGGCATTGCTGGAAAGCAGGGGGCGGGAGTTGAAGCAGGGCAGGGCAGCAATGAGCAGTAGGATGGGGGCAGTGGCAGTGATCCTCCACAATAGTCTCAGTTTCTCATGTGACTCCCTTGGAAAATTTAATTGCCCATCCCTATCCTAACCTAAGAAAAGTTACAATTGGTACACCAGGTGTGGCTATGCAAAGGCCTTCTTGGCCACAGATGACACCTGCTCTTCAAAAAGATGTGAGTCCAGGAAGACCCCCAGATTGTGTACCAACTCTGAAGGGGGAAATGCTATCTCATCCAAGATCAAAGTTGGCATATTCCCAGACCTGGGCAGCCCAAACACCCACAGCCATTTGATCAGATTGAGAAATGTGGTGGAAGTGAGATAAAATGATTGATATCTTGTTACAATGTTTATTAATCTTTTTACTGTAGGTTCAGGATGTAAAGTCCTAATTATTAAATTATGGTTCTAGTAGTACGACAAATTTTATGGATGAATGGGAAGAAGGAAAATCATGAATATAAAGGTGGTGTATTTTACTAGGAAGTCTGTTTACACTGCTCTTGGTTTATTAAACATTATTTTATGTTCTTAGATTCAAATCATGAGGGCACAGCTGAGGGAATGGAAAACTTGGCAGATGCTGTAACACATGCCCGATTTGTGGGCACAGATCCTGCAAGTGATGAGGTTGTCTTGATGAAGATCTTGCAGGTATGTTGGACATGAAATTTTTTTGGATTATCTGTATCCTGTAAAACTGATGTACATTGTGATCAGAGTTCCTCTGAATTCATGGGGATCCTGTTAAGAGGCTCTGATTAAACATATGATACACAAAAATAGAACATGTTTAATAAACATAAAAGGGACGCGGTGGCTCAGTGGCTAAGATGTTGAGCTTGTCGATCAAAAGGTCGGCAATTCAGCGGTTCGAATCCCTAGTGCCTCATAACGGGGTGAGCTCCCGTTACTTGTCCCAGCTTCTGCCAACCTAACAGTTCAAAAGCACATAAAAAATGCAAGTAGAAAAATAGGGACCATCTTTGGTGGGAAGGTAACAGCATTCCATGCGCCTTTGGCGTTTAGTCATGCCAGTCCCATGACCACGGAGACATCTTCGGACAGCGCTGGCTCTTCGGCTTTGAAACGGAGATAAGCACAGCCCCCTAAAGTCGGGAACGACTAGCACATATGTGCGAGGGGAACCTTTACCTTTAATAAACATGTTCTAATTTTGTTGGAAAAGAATGTGAAACTGTAGAATGGTTAGCTTTTTAGGGAGTAACTTTTAAAAAAAAAAAAATTCAAATTTTTTCCAACATAAGCATAAAAAAGAAAATTTTTTCAAGAACGAAATCTTGGTCCAGTCACAAATGGGTACACTAATTTAACAAATGAGAAACAAACAATTTTAACATAAATTCCAACATCTTAATACATTTTTCTATTATCTCAACATACATCCTAATCTACTAAGGCAAAGCTCCTTTTTATATTCAATTATAAATCAGAATTCAATACCGCTTTATCTAAATTTTTTATCCCTTGCTCCTTTTGACATCAACATTAAGCACAAAAACAATCTTTTCTATTAATCTATATATTTACCTTACAATTTTATCACCACAAATCTTAATTTCCAAATGTATACAATTCAATTTTTATTTCAATTTATTAATCAAAATTTCTTTCTATTTTTCTCGTTTTCTAAACCCAATCTATCCTATCATATTCTTAAACTTTTACATAGAGATCTCAAAATTTACCATTTCATTTTAATTATCACCCAACATTTTTTTCCCACCCCTTATTAATAATTATTCTTCAATATATTCTCCTCATTCTCCTCCATTACTCCACCTATTTATTTGGCTGATTTCCAGCATAGCATATTTTGGCTGAGTTTTTAGCATATTATCCTCCTTAACTTCCCCTTTTATTTGGCTGATTACCAGCATTTTTCATTGTTTTGGCTGATTTCCAACATATTTTGTTTTGGCTGATTAACAGCATTCTCCTCCTCAACTCCACCTAGTTTTTTGGCTGATTAACAGCATTCTCCTTCTTAACTCCACCTATTATTTGGCTGATTTCCAGCATTTCATTATTTGGCTGATTTCTCAGCATTTCTTTCTTTCTTTTATTTCCCATTTATTTCTTAATATTAATCATTCCAAGATATATTAAGTGCAATTAAAATTATAACTTCCATCTGTGTACCTTAATACGTCATCTAAAATCATTAACAATTGATCATAATTATCATCCACCACTTTGTTATCAAAACTAAAGCATGTTACAACAAATTATGCTTTTATAAACATATCACTTTTAGTCACCTTTACTTCCCATTTCTATTTTTAATATTTCTATCTTTCTTTAGCATGAACACTTCTTATTTTTATTTAAAACTCATTTAAATTTTGAACCATTTAAACAATTAAACATTCAAACATTGCTATCCAATTTATCTATTTTGCTTATTCTTTTCCTTATCTGTCCATATGCGTTTCAATTTAAAGTCAATACTAGTCACAGCTTCAAATGCCATTTTGAAACATTTATGTAGCAATCTGTTTGATCTCTTTGTCTGTCTTTTAAAGGTGGCAAATCCTTAATTTCGCTTTTCTCTTTTCAAGTTCATTTCAGTTTTAACAAGAAAGCTCGAATATCCAGCTTTGTTAATAAGCAATTCCCTCCAATCAATCAGTGGTGAAATAAGATTCTTAAAGGGTTTAAAACTTCTTTCCCCCCCCTTTTCCCCCCCAAAATCTTCAAGCCCCTCAGATCTTCAGCCACTAAGTAGGAGCCTTGGTAGTACAGTGGTTTAATGCACCCTGTTATTAACACAGCTGCCTGCAATTTCTGCAGGTTCGAATCTTACCAGGCTCAAGGTTGACTCAGCCTTCCATCCTTTCTAAGGTAGGTTAAATGAGGACCCAGTTTGTGGGGGCAATAAGCTGACTTTGTATAAATATACAAAAGTATGAAGGCTATTGCTTAACGCATTGTAAGCCGCCCTGAGTCTCCGGAGAAGGGCGGCATATAAATCAAATTAAAAAAAAAAAAAAAACCTAAGTAAGGCTGGAGGTCTTATTTATTAATATCCTCTTTCATTTCATTTTATTAGATTTCTATACCGCCCTACTCCCGAAGGACTCAGGGCGGTGCACAGCCAAAGAATAAAAACACATACAATACAAAATTTAAAAAATAGAATAAAATCAAATTAAATAATTTTGGCCCCGACAAATTTAAAACCCCAAACTTTTAAAACCAATTTAAAATTGAATATATAAATACTAAAAGATATTTAAAATTTTAAAAATCTTTATAAAAGAGGGGGAAAATTAGGCCAGGCCGGCCTGGTGAATGAAATGAAATGAAATGAAAATATCCTCTTTAACGCGTTGTTCTCGCCTGGGCTGGTATCACTCACCCGACTCCGAAGCACTTTGTCCTTTCTTCCTTCCTCCTGCACTTTGCTTGTCCCAATCTGTCGCAGTCTCGAGGCAGCCGCCATGGCTGCCGTCCCCCGCCACTGACTTAGAGGGTTGCCTCCGGCCTCCGAGGAACTTGCCTGTTCCGCTCGGCCACCCGAGGGGTCCCTCTCTTTTCCCCTGTCCCTTCAGAACAGGGTAGGTCCGCAGACCTGTCAGCGGCGGTTAGCCAGTCGGGGTTTTGGCGGGGCTCATCAGAGCCCCGCCATTTCCCTGACTGCATCCCCGCGACGCCAAACTGGAAGTCAGCTTTTTAGGGAGTAACTTGATGCAGAAGTTCTAGACCAGGGGTATCAAACTCAAGGCCCGGGTCCGGATCTGGCCCGTGGGGTGCTTAGATCTGGCCCGTGGGGCCGTCCCAGTGAAGGACTGGCCTGCGGTGCCTCTGCCAGCGAAAATGGAGCTCGTGAGGGCCACAGGCATCCCTCCTGAGCTCTGTTTTCACTGGCAGAGGGTTGCAGGGGGCCGTCACATTTGAAACACAGCTCGGGAGTCCGTTTTTGCTGGCAGAGTGCTCAGATCACCCCAGGCCCCTGTGACATGAGTGACGTTGAGCTGGCTATGCCTACCCCGCCCCCCCCCCCAAGGTCAAATACAACCCTGATGTGGCCCTCAATGAAATCAAGATTGACACCCCTGTTCTAGACAATAAGATGCAAATTTAATGTGGGTTTCTGAACATTGGGAGTCTTTTCTTCACAATACAGCTTATGGAAATGAATCATGCCCTAATCAAGAGATCCCTGCAGATCTCCCCGTAGAAAAATGCTCTTTGATACTCATGAGGTGGAAAATAGGCTACAAAATCATTGTCAAAGAACATGATTCATTGCCAATCCACTGTCAAATAGATAATATACAGACTGAAAATAAAATGCAATACCATAGCTACTCATCCATCCAGAAACATCCCTGGAGCAAAGTATGCTTTACTCTAGGAGGCTGCAAAGAATTCCAGAATAATGACAAAGAAACTGCAGGCATTTGCATTATCTTATATAAGCATTCTTGGGTCTTTTATAAAGAAAAAACTATACAAGAGTAGTACCCATGGAAATATATACAGTTGCAAGAAAAAGTATGTGAACCCCTTGGGATTACGTGGAGTTTTGCATGAATTGGTCATAAAATGTGCTCTGAACTTCATCTAAATCACAACAATAGAAAAACACAGTCTGCTTAAAATAATACTACACAAACATTAGATGTTGCCATGGTTTAATTGAACATAACATGTAAACATTCACAGTGCAGGGAGGAAAAATATGTGAACCTTTGGACTTAATAACTGGTTGACCCTCCTTTGGCAGCAATAACCTCAACCAAACGTTTCCTGTAGTTGCAGATCAGACCTGCACAACGATCTGGAGTAATTTTGGACCACTCCTCTTCACAAAACTGTTTCAGTGTAGCAATATTCTTGGGATGTCTGGTGTGAATCGCTCTCTTAAGGTCATGCCACAGCATTTCAATCGGGTTGAGGTCAGGACTCTGACTGGGCCACTCCAGAAGGCGTATTCTGTGCTGTTGAAGCCATTTTTTTGTTGAATTACTTGTATGCTTTGGGTCATTGTCCTGTTGCATCACCCATCCTTTGTGGAGCTTCAGTTGGCGGACAGATGGTCGTACGTTTTCCTGCAAAATGTCTTGATAAACTCTGGAATTCATTTTCCCATCAATGACAACAATCCGTCCAGGCCCTGAGGCAGCAAAGCAGCCCCAAACCATGATGCTCCCTCCGCCATGTTTTACAGTGGGGATGAGGTTTTGATGTTGGTGTGCTGTGCCTTTTTTTCTCCACACATAGTGTTGTGTGTTCTTCCCAAACAACTCAATTTTGGTTTCATCTGTCCACAGTATATTTTGCCAGTAGTGCTGTGGAACATCCAGGTGCTCTTTTGCAAACTTCAAACGTGCTGCAATATTTTTTTTGGACAGCAATGGCTTCCTCCCTGGTGTCCTCCCATGTACTCCATTCTTGTTTAATGTTTTCCTTATTGTAGATGTATCAACAAAAATGTTAGCATGTGCCAGAGATTTCTGTAGGTCTTTAGCTGACACTCTAGAATTCTTCTTTACCTCATGAACCATTCTGTGCTGTGCTGTTGCAGTCATTTTTACAGGACGACCACGCCTAGGGAGAGTAGCAACAGTGCTAAACTTTCTCTATTTGTAGACAGTCTGTCTTACCGTGGACACATGAACATCAAGGCTTTTGGAGATATTTTTCTAACCCTTTCCAGCTTCATGCAAGTCAACAATTCTTGATTGTAGGTCTTCTGAGAGCTCTTTTCTGCGAGGCATGGTTCACATCAGACAGTGCTTCTTGAAACCAGTAAACCCAAAACAGGTGTGTGTTTTTAAAGGGCAGGACAGCTGTCAGCAACACATCCAATATCATCACACTGATTGGAGTCAAGGTTGGCTCACTCCTGGCTCCAATTAGCTCTTGGAGAAATCATTAGGCTAGGAGCTCACATACTTTTTCCTCCCTGCACTGTGAATGTTTACATGTTATGTTCAATTAAACCATGGCAACTTCTAATGTTGGTGTAGTATTATTTGAAGCAGACTGTGTTTTTCTATTGTTGTGACTTAGATGAAGTTCAGAGCACATTTTATGACCAATTCATGCAAAACTCCACGTAATCCCAAGGGGTTCACATACTTTTTCTTGCAACTGTAATGTGGAATCCACTGGTCTCCAGAAAATCCATTGCTGCCTATCTCATCCTGCCTGAAAGATTCCACAGACTTTTGGAACAACTATGAAGTATGATAATGGGAATACAATAGTTTGGGGCTAACTTGCAATCACTGAAGGAAAAATGGATTCTGGATTATACCAGCAAATGTACAGGAAAGCTATATAATATATGTCCATGAGCTGAAATTTAAATGAAAGTCATGGAGCACAACAATGGTCCTTAACTCATAAGTAAATCTATAACAGAATGATCAAAATCGAAAAAAATCTCTTACTTTGAAATTTTGGAACATGAACATATAATACATATAATGAACATATAATTGACTTTAATACAAGTAAAATATTGTGTATTTTACACCAGACAGCCTCAAAGTATCAATAAGTTGAAACTGTTATAAAAGAGGTATAGCTGTGTTGAAAAAGGTCTTATTACACACTACCTCACTGAGTTCAATAAGACAATTTGTAAATTATTTACCAGTGACCTGGTATTATTTATCATTGACCTACCCAAAACTCAGACTACAGTGTTAGTCAGAGTACTTAAAAATTATGAGTAATTTTAAGTATTCAATCTCTGTCCATAGAGACTGATTTGGAGAAATGTTTTGTTCAGACTTCATGCTGTATCCAAACAATTCTGTGGCAGGGAAAGAATTTGCTCTCATTCACTTATATGGGAATAGTTGGCGAAATGATAATACTAAAAAGAAGTATTCTTCCACTGTTTAGTTGATATTTAAAATGTTTCTTTGTTATTTCATATGAATGTTTTTGATATTAAAATGTGATTAGAATATAACTTTTCATATTGATTTGTTCTTCTTTCAGGTCTTGAGGACTCTCCTCCTTGCTCCAGTTGGAGCTCATCTCACAAATGAATCTGTGTGTGAAATCATGCAGTCTTGCTTCCGTATATGCTTTGAGATGAGGCTTAGTGGTAGGTCTGCAATGAAACAAGCAAATCATAAACATTTATATTGTTTTGTCATATATTATTTCTGTATTTAATAAGTTTGAATGCTGAAAAGTAAATAAACATAAAATATGCTAAATGTGCAAAATTGAGTTTACATTCCTTAATTTTTTTAGAAAAGTAGTTGACTTTGCTAATCATTTCCTGTTCCTCTGTCTTTTTCTTTCTCATCTCTACATTCCTCTATCTCTGTAGTGCGGCTTGGTGTATCTTTCCTTTTCTTTCTGCACAGCTGAGCCTGGATTGGTTTTAATAAATTTCTAGTAATCCTTTGTAAGCAACACTTGGAGGGAAGTCTACACGAAGAAGCCTCTAGATAATATCACATGGCATAATGACACCTGTGTTATTTGTTTTTGTCTTCAGAGTTATTGAGAAAATCTGCAGAGCACACTCTGGTCGACATGGTACAGCTGCTCTTCACAAGGTAAACGTTCTTGTATTTGTCTCAGCACTGCTCAAATGGCCCTTCAAGGGTGGGAAGATTGCACATTTCCAAATATGTTAGTGGTTATGTATATGCATACTCTATTCCAAGTATTATCAGGTCCTTGCAAAGCTTGTCCTTTCATCAAAATGTATCTTCTTCACTGACAATAAGTAAGAATAAAATAATATATGAAACTGAGGAATGTGTTATCACTCTGGGGCCAGCCAGAGGTGGTATTTGCCAGTTCTCCGAACTACTCAAAATTTCCATTACTGGTTCTCCAGAACCTGTCAGAACCTGCTGGATTTCACCCCTGAGCACAGTATCCAGGATGGTTTAGAATAGTAGAAAATGATTAGCACTGACGAATAGTAGAAAATGATTAGCACTGGCTCCACTGTTGTGGAGATTGGGTCAGTCATTTAAGATAGCCTAGGACAGGAAACAGGCACGGCAAGAATCCCAGGAAACGTTTAATTTCTATAGGGTAAAATGACAGAATCTTGAAAGTCTGTCATGTTTTTCTCTGCTTCCATCTTCTGCCAGACAAAATCAAAGTGATGCTATTTTAAGTTTCTTTCTCACATTTTCCTCTTAGGACTGAATAATCTTTTCTGAAAATTCACCTGAAATGGTTTGCTCATATCTACCTTTTCCAAAGGCCAGGTCCACATTTCTTCATAGATTATGCCACTAATTTTCTTCAAATTTTAGATGGGGAGCTAAAAATATAAAATACAAAATTGTTAACTTTTGCTTACTTCAGAGTCACCATAATATCAATGTTTTTGCTGTCTTTGAAATCCAATCATTTGACATTTTGTTGGTGAATTCTCAGGAGCACTTTACTGGCTGCAATTGTGAAATATGATAACTGGTGTCGACCATTGACTTAGTTGACCCATGTACCTAGTCTACCGTTTCAAGAAATAATCTTAGCTTTAATGTGATTTATAAATACAAATGAACCTAAGATAGTTATATATCCAGCCATTTTTTCCAAAGTATTATAAAGGGAATTCCCACATCTGCATTTTTTTAGTTCTGTTATCAAAAATGTTATTTACAGCCCAAACCCTTCAACTCAGATCATTTTCTGAGGCCATCTTGACTTAAGGGACAATTTATGACCTGGCCTAACAAATCATTTTCTAAGAATATCAGTTCTAACAGAACTCTGCACATGAACACACACACACACACACACACACACACACACACACACCAGGGGTGGGTTCTACTTACCTTTACTACCAGTTGGCAACAGGAGTGCCTGTGCACACTTGCTTTGTGCGCATGCTCACGCACTTCTGCGCATGCGCAGAAGCTTCCTGACGATATCCGGGTCAGTGGGCGGAGCCTCCCATCAGTTTTACTACCGGTTCTTGCAAACTGGTCCGAACTGGGGGCAACCCACCACTGTCACACACTCATGCAAAAGTTTTAGGTAGTTGTGCAAATTGCTTTCAGATATAGAAGTGTTAATAATTTATTCTTCTTAATTAAAATGGAAAGTAAATGAAGAGAAGAGAAATCCAAATCAAATCAATATTTGGGCTGACCATCCTTTGCCTTCAAAACAGCATCAATTCTTCTAGGTACACTTGCACACAGTTTTTGAAGGAATTCAGCAAGATTCCTTCAAGGCTGTTCCAAACATCTTGGAGAACTAACTACAGTTCTTCTGTAGATGTAGGCTGCTTCAAATCCTTCTGTCTCTTCATGTAATCTCAAACAGACTCAATGATGTTGAGATCAGGGCTCTATGGGGGCCGAACCATCACTTCCAGAACTCCTTGTTCTTCTTTATACTGAATATAGTTCTGACATTGGCTGCATGTTTGGGATTGTTGTTTTCTGCAGAATAAATTGGGGGCCAATCACATGTCACCCTAATGGTAGGGCATGATGGATTGGTATCTACTGCATTGAGGACCCCATTGATCCTGACCAGATCTCCAAATCCATTTGCAGAAATCCAGCCCCAAACTTGCAAGGAACCTTCACCATGCTTCACTGTTGCCTGCAGATGCTCATTATTGTACCCTCTCCAACCCTTCTGTGAACAAACTACCTTCTGCTATAGCCAAATATTTCACATTTTGACTCGTTAGTCCAGAGCACCTTCTGCCATTTTTCTACACTCCACTTCTGATATTTTCTTATATAATTGAGTCGCTTAGCCTTGTTTCCACTTTGGAAGCATGGCTTTTTGACTGCAGTTCTTTCATGAAGACCACCTTTGGCAGACTTCTCCAGACAGTAGATAGGTGTATCTGGGTTGCACTGGTTTCTGCCTGTTTTGTGCTGATGGCACTGCTGGACATGTTCTGATGTCAAAGGAAAGTGAGCATGATGTGTTTGTCATCTGCTGCATTAAGTTTCCTTCCTTCCTCACCATGTCTGTGATCCTTAATGTTGCCCGCTTCTTTGTGCTTCTTCAAAAGAGTTTGAGCAGCAAACTCTTGAAACCCCAGTCTGTTTTGCAATCTTTGCCTGGTGACATGAAACTGTCTTCCACAATCTCACTTTAGTAGCAAAGTCTGGTTGTGCCTCACCCAGTTTTAAGCCTTTTACACAGTTTTTTCTGTTTCAGTTAATGACTGTGTTTCCACCTGTCGAAGCATGAATCAGCTTCGTTCCCCCCCTGGGGAAACTGTAATTAATTAGAGGTGAATGAATCTTGTTTTCCATGGTGTATACTCTCAAAGAAAGAAAACCCGAAGTATATATTCTAAGAAACATTTTATTATAAAAGTACAAAACTAGCTAACTACATCTTACCTGCAGTTATCACACAGATGGACAAAGGAAAAAGGAAAGGAAAGAATATAGACATGCGCAGTAGTCCAGTGTCTCACAAGACCAGCCTTATCTCAGCTACAGATAAATTCCCTGGCCAGGCTACCGTAAGTCTTAGAATGAGAGCTCAGCTGGCAAACACTTAACGCAGGGACAACCCCTTCTTTGTCAGTTGAGCGGACATCAAGTACTGCCATCAATTAAGGCACATCTTCTTACGCAGATACTCGTGCTGAGCTGCTGGAAGCAGTTTGTTGAGCATATCAACAATCTGATCATGTGTAGGCACATACTGCAATTTTACAAAACCTTGTTTCACTAATTGTTTTATATTTTTGTAACGGATGTCAGTGTGTCTGGACCTAGAACCTGTGAAACGTGATTCAGAAATATAAACCACAGATTCATTGTCTTCCATCACGGTGATTGGTCGGCTCGGGTGTGTCCAGATATCTGTTACCAAAGCATCAAACCAAGTTAGAGAATTACATGCATCTGAAACACAAGCATATTCAGCCTTAGTAGATGAACAAGAAACAAAATTCTGTTTTCGCACATGCCAGTAAACAGGAATCCATTTAAGAATATCATATAACCTGAAGTACTTTTACATGTTTTCTTATTACTCGCCCAATCAGAATCTGCATAATAACATAATTCTGCATAATCAATGTGTGTCTGTTCTAACAATAGCCTCATATGTTTAGTGTGTTTGAAGTATTTCAATAATTTCTTAACACATGCCCAATGAAACTGTTTTGCCTTACCTATGTGTCGAGACAAGAGATTTAACACTAAGTGCAATGTCGGGGCTAGTCCAACTACTAATATACAACAGTGACCCAATAACTGAACGATAAAGTGTTTGATCCTCGAACTCAGGACTTGGTTCATGTGTCAAGTTGTGGAAATCTGTTTGCATGGGTATGCTTCCTGTATTAGCATTTTTCATGTTGCAATGACGCAAAAGTTGTTCAATTTTATCCTCTTGTGAAAGACTAAACCCCTTCTGTGTTTTGTCAATCTGAACACCCAAATAAGTGCTAACATGACCTAAAGATTTCAATGTGAAATATCTCTGCAAAGCTTTAGCAAAATTCTCACTCATCTGCTTATTTAGACCAATATAAACAATATCATCAACATAAACAAGAGCTATCTCATACATATTATCAGATCTTTTTGTAAATACGCATTCATCAGTTTTGGACTTAATAAAGCCCATTGAATTTAATTTGTCAGTAAGACATAAGTACCACATTAAACCAGACTGTTTCAGACCATAAAGACTTTTGTGTAGAAACCAGGTATCCCTTCTTGCTGTCGGAACCCTGGAGGATCTCTTACGTAGATCTCCTCATCTAGGTCAGCATGTAGATAAGCCGTGTCAACATCGAACTGGAAAGCTTCTAAACCAAGAATAGTTGCTGTGGCTAAAGCAATTTTTACACTCTCAGTCCGGACTGTCGGTGAGTAGGTATTTGTGTAGTCCTCAGGATAACGTTGAGCGAAACCCTGAGTTACAAGTTTGGCCTTGTACAATGACTCACCATTTGGCTTCTTTTTGATTCTGTAGACCCATCGAGTGCCAATGACTTTTTTGTTTGTTGGAGGTTTTGCAGGCGTAAACACCTTAAGTTTCTTTAGACTGTCCATTTCAGCCTGCATTGCCTCATACCACTTCTCTTGCTCTGAGTCAGGAAGATGCTTGATTTGTGTGAACTTATCAGGAGGAAGTGTAACAGTACAAATCAGAGGCAAGAGTGCTTTTGTCAGTTGCTACGAATATCGGTGTGGAGGGATCCCCTTTGTGGCCTTCTTGGAACGCCTCAGAACAGCCGTCCATTCTTCTTCCATTTCATCCTCGTCTTCATTATCGTCGCTAGCGTCGGCATCGGTGGCTTGCGAAGATGGAACATCAGGTTGAGAAGAACTAGTGGATGGAACATTTGCCTGTGAATTTTGATCATCAGACTGCGTGGCATCAGCAACATCATCTCTAGGAAAATAAACTCCAGGATCATTGGAATGATAGCATCTTCCTCAAAATTAGCGAATTGGGAAATCACAATTACATATTTGGAGTCAATAAATTTGCTCCACTTTGAATTACCATCAATACCCATAAATCTCATCCTCTTTGCTGCTGGACCTCCTTTCCTTCTTTGAGCGAAGGGAATGTTCACCATAGCGTA